CAAATTTGAACAAATCTGATTGTGGATGCGGGCGAGTGCGCAGACAGGTGGGCGGCCAATTTGGAACATTGTGCACTTTGTGTAACATTCACGGCTACCACTTGACACTTCGACGGGCAAAGGTAAATTGCAATCATGTTAAGCTGCAGAGAGGGCGAGAGTGAGCGAGCGGTTGGTGTAGGGAGGGCTAGGGGAACAGCTCTCAATGCAGAATAAAGCTGAACTGAAGTACGTGACACTTGCCAGCTTAATTAAAATGAAATGTGCTAATGGAAAATACTCACACAGCCAATCGGAAAACTGATGACCACGTGTGTTTGCCCACACTTCAGTGGAAAATAATTGAAATGCCCGAATATGTAAATTGCGCATGCTGCTTTATATTAAGGACCGCAAATCAGCAACATTTATAGAATACTTAATTGACTGCATTTCATATATTTCACATATTTTCAAATTCATTTTATTGCCCTGAAAATGTTTAATTACTTTTAGTATATATTTCTGTTATATATAATAAACAATATATTATTCGAACAATTATTGTATATCGCAAGCCTATTTTCATTTTCTTTCTTTCATTTTAGACAATATATATAAAAAAGTATGTGTAATCTTTCGGATTTATATGTAATTAAAAGTATGCAAATTTACAAGGTATGTTTGTACTTTGCAGTTTTTCATGCCTTGAATTTAAGTACAGTAGGCTCTCGCTCAAGGCAATTTTCAAAATTTAATTATTACTCTAAATTTAGATTAACTCGAGCTACTTTCATTTTAATGTAAAGAAAGGGAATCACACTTTAATAGAAAGTCCGTTCGTTAATAGAAAATTATACCTCAGCTTTGCAGTTGAGCTTTGTTGAGTCGCGCTTAGCGAGAGAGTACTGTAGTACTGGATGTCTGCCCCTAGCCCTAATCTAATTGCTGCCTCTTTCACTCGCTTTATTCCTCTTGCCTTCTCCTACTCATTTATGAAACTAAAATAATTATCTAACTTTCTTGAGTAAATATTTACAAATATTACATGGTTTATTTATAACAAGTTATATTTAATAGAATTTAATTTTACCAAAATGCAAATAGTTATGAAATTGACTTTAGCTGTAACACTTTGTTAGTTTCTCTCTCTTTGACCTAAATGTGGTTACAAACAAAAGAAGCCCCATCTATTTTGGGCACATGAATGTAAATTTTATATTCTGAAATTTACATACAAGGATAAGTGCATGCCGTGTGCTATTTTTAGGGAGCCAAAAGTGGGCGGGAGGCTCCAAACTGACGACACAGCCAGAATAGACAGACAAACCTGGTAAAACACGGCTCGAGGGCCATTTAAAGCATAGAAATAATATTGAAATTTATGCGTGAATATGAGGAACAGGAGCAACAACAGGAGCACAGCTACTTGGAAAGTGGAAAGACAAACCGTCACGGCCTGCACACACGCAAAGCACATCGTAGCTTAGAAAAGAAACATGTTAATGCTGTTGTGGGCAGGTGCGACAAGGTGACGGCTCGGGACAGTTGCTTACACGCTTCAGGAGTCGCGGAAAAGCAATATTTCGTATGCCTGTGGGATGTATTTCACAAATCTTAACCGAAATAGATATTAAAGATTCGGTTACAAAGCGAACAAATTACGCATAACCCGAAAACTCATTTAAATACTTGAAAGAAATGGGTTCAAGCCAGCCTTTTAGGGACAACAAATTGTGCTTAATATATATTTCATAGAAACAATGCCATTGTGCCACAAATTAATAAACTTTTGGGTGAGAGAAGGACACAAGTGCATGCTTACCAAGATTTGACGAGCTCCGGCCAGAGTGGACCCAGACTTAATGCGTTCAAGTTGGAAAACACTTAACGGTGATGGTGTTTTTCCTTTCGCTTTTCCAGCTTCAACCGCCAAACAAACACCCATTAGCAGCAGCAGCAGCAGCGGCAAACAATACTCAAATCGCGCCGTACAAAACTCCGCGCGTGCCAAATGTTGTGCCGATAATTTAAAGCAATTTAGGTGCAAATTTGGTATGTTTTCTGGCGCAGAGGCAGAGGCAGCGCCTACTGGCGCGCACAGGTGTGTGCACTGGACGTGTCTCGCAGCCAAGCAAGCAAATTGGCGAGAAGTTGATGCGCCAGACTAATGCCAAGCGCGTGCACAACCGACTGGAGCAAAGGATAACGCACGACTGCGGCGCACGAGCTCCGACGATGGCAAGGACAACGACGCCGACGACGACGACGACGTCGACGCCGATGTTGACGAGCTAGAAAAGCCGAACACCAAAAGCAACAGCAGCAACAGCAGCGGCAGCAGCAGTTACTTTATGGCCCATTGCCAGAGCGTCGTCGGCTGGCATTAGTTGAAAGTAAGTAGAAATATGAAAAAGAAGTAACAAAAATAGCAGCGATGGCTGCGTTGGCTGCGACGTCAGCGGCGGCGGCGGCAGCGAACGCGGCGACAGCAACAAATAAATCGCTAGTAGATTATTCGTGCTGGCACCCAATGCTGCTGCCCCGCACCCTCACCCGCCCACGCCAATCATTTTTGACGCGCGCCTGTGTGTATGCTACACAAAAAAAATTGACAGCCAAAGCAAAGGGGACACATTCGCCGTTTCGGGCGGCCTCTCTTTTTGGGTAAGTAATTTTCGTTGTTTCTATTTAATTTATGACTCGTGTTTTTCTTGTGTTTTTCTTCTGTTTGTTGTATTTTTATTTGGCTTTTATTAATTTGTTTATTTGCGCGCGGCGCTGCTCATTGCCCCGCTGCCAGTTTGCCTTTTAAACGTTGCTTTTTATATGCTTTTCATACAAGCTTACCAATCCAGCCGACACACATACTCAGGCAGAAACACACAGACGCACAATAACGGCCTTAGATAGACAACTTTATGCACTGCGCTACGCATCCTAACCTATCCATCCATACAGGCATGTGCTTGTGTGTGTGTGTGTGTGCGACTTCCTGTTGCTTTGGGAAAGGTTTGCGCGTGTGTGCTGACCGGATGCACTGTAAAAATTGTAATACAACTAAAACTAATCATTAACTAGAAAATGTGTCATTAATTAAAATAGTATAGTAACTTAATTAATTTAAAAAGGAAACACCAATTCTTGCTTATAACACGTTTGTAAATTATAAATAAATCAAAAATCAATGTTCTTTGTTCAAGTCTTATGACTATTATTTAAATTAAATTATTTATAATACCGGATTCAGTTGTAAGCTGCAGCACAAATAAAAGTTTTCTAATTTGTACATTCTATGGTGATTATGGAAAGATTCTCCAAGTGCAATTCCCTTGGCTAGTCTGGGTCCTTTGTCTTGTCAGTGTCTCTGCCAAGGGGAAATTGTTGCTGCCACTGTTGCATGCGCGGCAAAGTTCTTTAGCTGGCTTAAGACTTTGCTCGTTTGTTTTTAGTTATAACGAACTTCAGTTTATACTACATCCACGTTCATTTCGCTTTGTTGTCACTCTCCAGTTCTAAGCCCTGGTAACGGTTTGCTGGCACTTTGTGTAATTTTAACGGGACAACTCAAAATGTAATTCTGCCGCTTGTTGCTCACTTTGCATTAAATAACTCATACGCCGCGTGTTGTGTGTGTGTGTGTGTGTGTGTGTGTGTGTGTGTGTGTGTGTGTGTGCCAGGCCTCATAAAGATTATGCAGTACGTATTTTGATTTACTGTTGCGGACCACTTAATAGACCACAAAAGCTGCAAAAGTCCATAAAGCACAGGCAGAGGCAGAGAAAGGCAAACCAACCAGCAAATGGCCACAAATGACACGTTTGGTGTTAAATGGAGGTCGCCAGTTGGGTGTGCATGTTCGAACGTGTCTGCGTGTCTGCGTCTCTGTATATGTGCGTGTGTGTGAGTTTGTATGTGAATGTCACAGTTACAGCTAAATTGTTTGTACAACATGCATGTACGGCAAACATAAATCCCACCCAACGTTAACTAAACGTGCGACTCCAAGCGAATCGGGCAGTCTTAACCGCTTGCTCCCCGCCCGCCTGCCTGCCTGCCTGCCTGCGCCCAGCAGCAGGGCAATTAAAGACACTGCGTGTATTTTGTTTGCGGTTGTGTGTGGCTGTATGCGTGACGCCTGCGCCCAGGTTGGCTTTAAGTTAACCGTTGCCTTTATCAACGTTTGCGCTCCTACAGCGCCTGCAGCTCCTACAGGTCATTAGCGAACTGTAGTTATAGCCGATGGAAAGCTACTTAATAATAACAATGTGTTCACACATGTACACATGCATATACATATATCTTTACAGTAAATTGAATTCAACATCATACACAAGTATGCTGCACATTTACATACATACAAACAATACAAATACATGCAATACATGCAACTGCACAAGCCGTTAATTCGGCGTGCAGCAGGCGTTATGCCTGCAATAACCAGCTGTGGCTGTTAACATACATGTGTGTGTGTGTGTGTGAGAGTATGTTTCCGCTTGCATCCGAGACCATTTGTCTGGACTTGAAGACATCCACAAAAGCAGCTTTAATTGCACGGAATCGTCACACTTTGCTGGAAACAACAAAAACAACCAGTAATACAATGCAGTGTCAACCTGTCTCTCTCGCACTCTATATTTCTCCCTTTCTGCAGGGAAATATAAGCAAGCCAATTTGGTTTTCGCACTCGATACATGTTCGTCCGTTTATAAAAAGAGATAGAAAGAGAGAGAAAGCCTTGTGCGGACGGAAAATCTAAAGCTTTTTTAAAAGCACTTGTGTGTCAGCCGTTACAATTTCAGAGTTGCCAGATGGGTAAAGTAACATCATCTTTTAAGCCCAACTCCGAAAGCTTTAATTAAAACATTATTTGGATCGCTTGGTCCATCCGTATGTTAGCTAAGCGAAAAACTCAATTATTTTTTAATTTTTCTTAATTCTCAAATCATAATTCCTCAAATGCAAAATGAATGTTTTTGTCAAATTTTTTCATTACATTACTATATCGACGCTGCACTTGAAAAGTCTCATTTGAAAAATTTGAAAACGAGTATCAAGTAAAATTTCAAATATAAAATATCCGAATCGGTTTACCAGCACTGTAAACAGGGGTAACAGTACCATTTGAGAATAACAGTCGCCGTACATTGACATTGCATAATCCGATAAAAGTAAAAGCCAAGTGGAACAGTGCATTTTGAGTACATCAAAAAGGTCGCATAATTAGGTAAAGCAAGAACATATCGATACTTCGCGAGCTTGCACCGAATTTAAATACGTAAATGCGCAAGCTATTAAAAAACCGCTGAAATTAAACTGCTCGACAATAATTTAACCTTATTCAAATAATAAGCATGCTGCCAGAGTAAAATTAATATTGTGGAATTGTAGCTCATCGCATACTTTGGTTTTATATACATATACATGTGCGTAAAGTGAACAACCGTTAGGTCCGCCATCATTCTCGGTTTCTGTCTAGACCGCGTGATTTTGCTTTTCTAGAAACAATTTCTTGTGAATCATTGCTTAGCATCAATCATGAGTTTGGATATTGATAAACTGACGTGCATAGTTTGCGGCACCTGGGCCAGTTTAATGTGCCAGCGTTGCGGAGAATCCTACTGCAACGATGTCTGTCAACGCAGGGATTGGCAGCGCCACAAATACTTCTGCTCCATAATGCCGTAAGTAGCAGTGTGTAAAATGCATACATAAGCAAGTTTATGTGCATGTGTATGTGTGTGTGTATGAGTGCACACTTTAAAATTGATTAAGAAATTATACCATATTTACTGAGAAGGGTCTACTCACACAATCTAGTTTAAGTATAACTTTATATTTGTTGTTAATTGTATTATATTTTTCTAGACCCTTGGTAAAGGCTTCAATACCAGCGGCGGCTTATAGGCCTGAAGCAGTTCCTGCCTATGTCGTTAACAATGCAACAAGCCCAACTCCTATTCCAAATGAACAAAGCGCACTTGAACCTATGGTGAAGGATTTAACGATTGGCGAGCCAATTGAGCAGCAATTGAGTCTGACATGGCGTGAGTCGGTAATGCCGCCGGAAAAGGAGTTCTTCGAGTGTCGCGTCACTTACATGGAAAAGGATGGATCCATTTGGGTTGTGGCTATAGCCAATACCGAGCGCCTGGAGCGTCTCACCGACAGCATGGCGCGCAGCATGCAGTACCAGAAATCATGTTTATTTGAGAATATTCTTGTTGGCGACCTGGTTGGCGTTAATGTTGACCATAAAATGTATCGCGGTGAGGTGATCGCACTGAATGATTGCGCCGAGGTGCGACTCATTGACTATGGCGCAGTTGTTAGATGCGAACTGCAGGACATGTATTTGCCTGTGCCGCGCATGGCCGAGCACAATGCGTTTGCCTTGAGGGTCAAGCTGCCGACCAATGTGGGCGTGCAGATCAACAAGAATGTAACATTGCGCTTAATAGGCAGCCAGACACCCGATGGCATCGAGCAGGTGCAATTGAAGCCCAAAATGACCATCCCGCTCAACTTGCCAGTTCAAATGCTGGCCATCAATCCGGAGGTAAGCTTCGTAAGAACTCTGCAACATGACGCCACACTCAAGGAGCCGCTGGTGGCTTTGCTGAAAATTAAGGTTATGAGCAATTTAAATGACGACTTGAACGCCAGGCTGACTGACAAGCCTGGACTGCTATTCACTGAACCCTTTCCCGAAGAGATACGTACATTCTTTCTGGCGGCCCGCACCAAGCAGGGCTATCGGCGTGCCATGCTGCTTGACTTCATAGAGCAGCCCATGCTGTTTTTGGTCTACGAAATGGATGAGGGCCGCATCTCGTTGACCGACGAGGTTTGTCGCATTCCCAGTGAGCTACTCGGCCATGCATTGTGCGTGTTTGCCGTCACTCCTGCAGAGGGCTACACGCGATCCTTGCAGCAGGCGCTAACGCAAGCCGGTGAAAATCTATGCATCAAGTTTAACATGGAGAACTTGCAAGGCAAGGACAAGTTGCGCACGGCCCAGGCAACGCTGCTGGCCGACAATGCTCAAATGTGCGCTGTGCGCGCCATGACCTTCCTGGGCCGCGTGTGCGACCTGGGCCACAAATACTGGCGGGAGTCGATTGAGAACGGTAGCTTGGTATACATATCGCATGTCATCAACTACCAGGAGGTGTGTATCAGCTCTGTGCAGACCAAGCAATACGAAGACATATTTAAATACGTGGAGTCAAAATGTCCACCATTTAGGCAGTCGAGTGATGTCGCGGTTGGAAGCCTTGTGCTTGTCGTGAGTCCCAGTCGAGGCAACTTTCGTGCAGAGGTTAGCAACAATATTTATCTATTTGATTCGTTAAATAATACATTTTGATGTTTGACCACAGGTTACCGGAGTGGAGAACAATAAGTTTATTGTTCGTAACATCGACACTGGCTCCACGCATAATGTGGCACGGAATTACCTTCGCATGCCTTGTCCATTTTTGGAGAACTTGCCCGTGTGCCAATGCCGCGTCAAAATCAAAACCATCTGTAACATACCGTCGTCGGCAGTACCGCCAAATACAGTTGCCCTGCAGACACTGATGAAGCTGTTCACCCAGAAGACGGAGATGCAGGTGGACTTTGAAGATGCCGTTGGCAGCACAGTTGATTTGATTGACTTTTCGGCCGAACCGCAATCGTTGATGACCCGCATGCTGCCCCTGATGTTTACGCCAGTTGCAGTCGAGCTGGAGCCAGCTCTGAGCTTACCTGCATCCCCGGTTGTTGCGCCGGAGCCCATTAAGGCGCAACAAGCCGAGCAAATGTCAGCCATTGAATTGCCGCCGCTTCCACCTTCGCCGCCAAATTCACCGATTGAAAATGATAAGTCTTCTAAAGCTGTGAAACGTCACTACTTCAATGATTTGGAGCGTCATCTCGTACCGCTGGGCGAAGATGTGCTAGTTTTGATCCTAAATACTACGGGTCTGCATAAGTGTGGATACGCAACTGCTTGCTTCTTCTCCAGCGAGAAGGTCGCAGAAGATTTCCAGAATCTGCTCGATCTTGTGGCCAGCATTGGCATTGTAGACGATACACTGAAGCCGGGCTATTTACCTGAGTAAATAATATATTTTAGCAAAGGCTGTAATTATTTAATTCAATATCTCTTAAACAGCGTTGGCGAAATGTGCCTGACCCTTTTTACCGAGGACAATTATTGGTATCGTGGCGTTTGCCAGCGTGTTAGCGGGCAAAAAGCTAGCATTTTGTATTGTGACTTTGGAAACTCAGAAGTGGTTCCCCTGGAGCGGATTAAACCAATTACGCCCGAGGTGCTGCATGGAGTATATGCCACCAAATGCTTTATAGATGGTAAGCCTTTGGATAAACTTATTCCCATTGGACTTATATAAAATATTCTACCTGATTTTAGGTTTCGATAAAGCCAAAAATTTCTTGATTCTTGAGGAATATCTGGCAGATAAAAATAAGATACTCTGCAATGTGCTCGAAGGACCAGAGCCGAACACACGTCTTATTAGCATTCCACATTTGGACAAGATTTTGTCCCAGGAACTTATTTAATTTTAATATACTTTGAAAAACCTCATTTTTGACGATATGGATAACGTCCGTTTGTTATGTTTTAAATAATTATGTATATGTACATATATACATAATATATAATTATCAATGATAATGCTGCGTTTGTTCCGAATAAATGTTATGTTCATCATTGACTATGCATATTAGATATTTTGAATTGGATTGTTCAAGAAAGAAGGTTATTGTCGCGACTTTCAAAATTTACATTTGATTGCGTGTATGAAAGTAGAAATAGGAAATTGAGAGAAATAGGCAATTATTTTGGTAATTGATATCATTATATTTCAGTGAATTATTTATTTGTTGAATCTCCCTTTCACTGAATCTTATTGCTTATAGTTGCTAGTTGAGCCTCCATTGTACACTCGACTACACTGCCTGTGAACGCAGACTGGATATATATGTAACGTATCAAGAGTTTCATAGTGGATCAATAGGATCATAATGGATTAATAACAACAAATTTTGTAAAGGCCAACCCGCTTACCTTCTTTAGCCGGACACTCCTTTTGAGCGGAGAAATCGTGCCCGACAGTTGCTGTTCGAGTTTTCACTGCAATTGTTGTTAAAAGAAAAATATATATATTTTACTATGAATGAGGTTTCCATGTTTAAACTTTACCCTTTACTTTAAATGGCTTTAAGGGACTGATTAGCAAGAAAACCCCAATTCTTTCGGTTATCTTGCACTTGTCCATTGTGTTAGACTAACATTTTAAAAAAGGCTAATGGGTTTTCAGTTTTTATGCGGTACAAACAACAACAACAGATTAGCTACAACAGCAATAATAAACAGGGTATACAACAAAACCACATTTAGTGCTCGGCGAATTTGCTAAAGATCTCCTTTAAAATGCTGATATCTCGCACGGCTATCAAGCCCGTCGCATTACGCTTCCAATCGGAGCCGGATTCTGTTTGAATGTCCTCAGGTGGAATATACCTTATGGGTATGGGCAGCTGCTGCTTGATGCTGGCATTAAAGTCGAGCACATCGCCGCCTAGTGCGCGCAGAATCGCCTGTGGGGCACAGGTGTCCCATCTGAATGTGGAGCCTTTGCTGAGCAAGTAGATGTCCGCTTCATTGCAGATAACCTTAAGTGCCTTGTGCCCTGCTCCCGCAGAAAATGCCAGCTGATAGTTTAAGTCGAGAAAACGCTGAAGTATCTCGGACTGCTCGGAACTAGAGAATATGCCAATTTTGTTATGGCCATGACTGCCGCCTGCGTCCGAGTTGCAGTTATGAGCCTGTACGCTGGGCAAACAGACGCCCCAATACAACGAGGAACTGTACACGCGCTCATCCAGCTTATGACCAAAAGGCTGCGAGACTATGCCGATTACAGGCGTGCCGCTGTCGCGCTCATAGACACCAATCAGCACGGTGACACAGTCCAGCCCTGTGGAGGTGATGCCGGGAAAGTCGGTGAACATGCTGTCACCCGAAATGTACTCAGCAGTGGCATCTGGAAAAATACGTGTGTATTAAGCAACAATAATGGGAAATAAGGTATTTTACACACCAATTGGATCTATCCAAATGCCCAAGTTACTGTAGTCCAGCTGAGCTGGAAGTTCCGGAATGTCGCCCAGGTTCGCTGCATAGTCGACGATCCTATGCACCTCGGACGCCAGCGCATCAGCTGCCTTCTTATTTCCATCGAGCACCGCCTCCAGGCATGCGGCAGTTTCGGCTTCCGTGTCGCCCACAGCTATGGTAATTTCCTGGCCCAGTTTGTTGGTGAAATGCGTGGATTCTTCGCCCAATATTGCGTCGCGCATGGCTGGGAACAGTTTGCCCACCTCGTGCCGGATGGTCTCCTGTATTAAAACATCAGCCAGCGTCTTGAAATCGTGCTCGAAACGTTGATTGGCCTCGGCGCCAGTCTTCTCCTGGACAAGCAGCGCCAAAAGTTCATCATTGGAGCGACAAACGCGCGCAATGTTTGCCGCTTTCTCTGCACAGTTAATTAGCACTCGCAGCAAATTTATGTGCTCAGCCATGTCTGCTAGTTGCACTACGAATTAATATTGCATACTTTTAACGTTTTGACTTCGCTTTTAAGGTTTCATTTCATATGCCAACAGATTGCTCATACATGCCAGTTATCGGTTATCGACTGCCGCCACACTCCGCGCCTATCGATGTTATGCGATAGTTTATCACGAAGTGTTCGGTGCTGCCAACCTGATACAATAACCGACAAGTTCAATTTGAAAGTTTGTTTACGTTTGATTTTTATAAATCAAACAAAAGTTTCAAATAATTATTTTTGGTTATTTCTATAATAATTTAAAGTAAAACAAACAATTAAAAATGGTGAATTTTTCTTTAGTTATTTTTAATTTTCCTGAGCAAGTGAAATGTTTAGTTTTTTGCATGCCTTGTCACTTGCCTTCACATCTTCATTAAAGCAATTTTAATTGGCAATTAATTATGACGCACTCACCGCCCCATTTAGCGTGATCGGACAAATTTATAAATCATGTCAAAGTATGGGATTGCACAACCAAGGCAGGAGCATAATATTGGACGAACTGCTGCATAATTTGCACCCGATCTTATCGACGGGCAGCGCTAATGATTCGCATTAATGATGCTCGGCTTCGCAGTGCTTCCCGCACTCCGCGACATCATCTTATGAAATGAGACCATCAATCAGCTTGTGCGGCTGCTCCTGCCGCATCCCAGCGCCTGCCTCTGAAGCATTTGCATATAAATTGCTGCTAATGTCGCGCTATCAAAGTGACTGCATCAATGTGGCAACGACTACGCATTCTTGCAATGCCAGCTCTGGTCCTGCCCCGCCCCGCTCTGCCCTTGTCCTGAGTGCCCTACGGGCCAGCGTTCATCCAAGTTGCAAGTTATTCGTGTATCGCTTGGCTTATGCTAATTTTCCCAGGCAGCGCGCCGCCGAGCCAGGCCAAGCAATTGATGTTTGGATAACGTTGACTTGATGACTTTGCATAATTTACGCGGCAGCAGCAGCGCAACATGTTGGCTTCTCGTTGGGCTAATTTTTCACTCAAACGCACGCGTTGCTTATAATGTGTTAATATTCATGCGGGCCGCAACAGCCGCATCAGCCGCAACATATGTTGCATTTCGTTTTGGACACCTTTTACCTTTTGACGTTTCAATTTTCATCTCGCCAACAACTTTTTGCCAAACGATTTTTCAACGGCTGCCCATTTTTCAACAGCTCAGCCTGATGTATTCGTCATCTCCGCGGGCTTCTTCAGATTAAATTAAGTCCAACGAAAATGTTCTTTTGTATTGGTTAACAAACATATTCAATTGGAATGTTCTTCCTATATGTGAACACATGATTCAGTTTGTGGACGTCGCAGCAACAAGTTTGTCGCCTAAGTCTTTTGTTTTACTTTATAATATATTCATTAAGGCTGTGATATGCTTCACATGGCTACACATGTTTTTTTTTTTTTTTTTTGGTTTATCTGTCTTTATGTTTTGGGCACCCTTTTCAAGTCTAACAGCCTTTTAATTAATCGCTTGGGCTAAACAAATTCCTAATGAGTCTTTAATTAATCGCCAAAGCGAAAAGTAAGCCAGTCGCTTGTATGTATACATATTCCCTCGTTGTTTATAAATATTTAAATTTTCTGTGACTTGATTTCTGTTATGGCCACAATATTGTTGTTGTTGTTGTCGTCTTTGTTGTTGGTGTTGTTATTGCTTCGGCTCCGCCCCTGAGGTGTTTTAAACAAGTTTCAGCGCTTCTACAAATTTGTTTGCTTCTATCATTTTTTGTTTATCATTTTCTTGCCTCGCAGTTAACTTGATTATTAAGTTGCCACAACAAAGCTAACAATGTTGATAGCCGTTTTTAATTAAGCGTCTCATTCGATTGCCCAGATCTTGCTTTAGTAATTAGTGGGCGTGGCAAGCCCAAATGGCCAGCAAAGTACACATCTTCATTAATTAGCTAAGTAGCTGCGAGAGCTGCAAAAACTTGGTGACAATATTCTGTGCGTTAGAGCAAGATGGCGAGCTGCGCGAGAGCGAGAAAGGTAGACGGCAGCTCGAGTCTGATTGCAAAATGTCTGCCTATTGAACATAGAACTTGTCTTTGCCAGTTTTCGATTGGTGCAATTGGTGCCAACGGGCGACAGACTGCAGACTGCGAGGAGGCCAGCACCCACTCGACAAAGCTGCTCAGCTGCGGCTTCTATTTCCCCAGTTGCATTTCCTGCGGCCCCTGCCCTGCTGCAGCATCACACTGCGCCCCCAACCTTAGTTTAAGTCTTTCACTTTGGACCTTGACTTTGTTTATTACAGCGATAGGCATTTACTATTACGTTGCATTAAATACAAGTGAGATTTTGGAAAACCTTTCCTCTTTTAATTAGTTGGATTCATAATCTGTTTGCAAGATAATATTTTGCGTAATTTGGTTCAATGTTTATAAATCATTAATAAAAGAATGCTGGAAGAGTCTTTAAATGGAAAATTTGAACAAGCTCAAAAATTGTATTAGAATTGACATATCATGGAATTTGTCAGGTTTGTAGATTAAAGAACTGGCTGGATCTCTTTGTAAAAATGAATGTGTTATTTAGTTCGATCGGATACATCAATTTTTGAAAACTTTGAGGACTAACTATTGCTTGAAACTCATAATTATTCGCGCAATCGGATTCAATCTCATTTTCAAACGTCTTTGTAAAATATTTTTGCAACGAGAAAACATTGATTTATTTCGCAGGCTAAAGTAAATCATATTCTTTAATATTGCCCTTCTTTGCGAATCTCATAATTTCAGATTAACACGCTCTAATTAAAATGCTCTAATTAAAATATAATAATATATAAATATAATTTAATTTCTTTCGCTCTTACTCTCTCCCTTTGTGTGTCCTTCTGTTAAATGATGGTAATTTTTTGAGATAGTAATATAAGCATAATAATATGCATTTATTTCTTTTATATGGCCCTGGGGTTGGGTTATCACCGATCATTGTAACAGACCCGTAAATCTATTGCTTTCTATGGGTCTATATAAATGCCTTAGTCAATATATATCTGAGAGGCGTATTTGTTTGCATTCACTTATTCACCATAATTGACAGGCAGAGAATTGAAATTAGTTTGTTCCGCCTGCCGCTGGTGTCCATTGCGATCGTATTGCTTGGCACTAGCACTCGAGCACAGATCCAGCGGAAATACAATCGTATAGAAATACAAATCTGTTGCTGGACGAGTGCATATAAATTTTTGCCATTTTGCCACTTTAACATTATTGTTATGATGATAAGCGAGCGAACGTTGCGGCGACCATGTCGAACGTGCTGCGCGTTGCGGCTGCCCGCGGAGCGAGACCAAGATCAGGTCTCAGGTCTCGGGTCTCAACCCTGGCCAGCTGGGGACTCTGAATGGGAGTGTGACGCTGACTGTGACTGCTTTTGGGGTCTGTGTGTCTGCCAATGCCGAGTCATGTTTAATGGCCTGTGGATGGGATTTGGCCAGAACGCATCCTGCCTGTTCTGTTTGCTGATCTCGGCGCGATCTGGCTTGTTTGGCTTTCCTCCATATTTAAAACCATTTCATTTTCTGGGGGCCAGAGTGTGAATATAATTTAATGTGTGTGTGTGTCTGTGCAATTTTCAATATCGTTGCCTGCCTCCCGCTCGCCTTTGCAGATATTATTTATTATGCTTGATTGGTTTTCAAGTGATCATAAAGTAAATGATCGTCGTTTTGGGTCGCGCGGACCTGGCCCCAGCCAGTCTGTGCCAATTGTTGCCATCGAGAGCCGGCTCTGCCGTGGCGTTAATATGTAGATTTTTCGCATTGGAGGCGTTAGTTGGAGATTTACGCGCCGGCCAATGAATTGTGGCAGCTTTTCCACAGACAAGCCCGGGTCCTGACCCCGTCCGACTCTTGTAGATAGCTTCATTTGCCGCAGACACCTTGCATTCCAATGGCCATATCCTGTTTAACTCCCACACGCAGTGCACTCCTCAGATGGCCTCCAACAATTTGGCATTAACATTTAATTGACATTGATGATTGCGGCAGCGGACAACTCTGAGAACGGCAGCTACCCGCGCAGCGTGCTCGGAATTGGAATGCGCATGGCAACAAAATTATTAAAAATCATATCGGACCAGAGTGACAGCTGAGCTGCGTATGTCAGGCATATAGTCTGCTAGTTGTAGTCGTATACGCAAGTAGTTGCCAGCCGACTGACATGAAGAAGACATACAAATAAATTTGTGGCACCTGCAGACAGCAACAGCTCGGGCACAGACAGGTGGGGGGCAGGTGGGCCGCTGAAAGATGGAAGATGGACAGGCCTTGCGTTTCTAGCGCCAATCTCTCAAGGTTTCTCAAAGTAAATGCTCAAAATCAACGCCAAGTGTTTGGGCGCTGCTTTCGACAGATATGTGTGCATGTGTGTGTGTGTGTGTGTGTGTGTGTGCTGGCTTGTTTATTTGTCGGAGTGTGTTTTGTTTTCGCTGCTTTAAATGAACGTTATTAAGAGATGCTTATCTCGGAGTGATTTATTCATTAAAAAGGCATTTATTAGCCAGAAACAAGGCAATGCCAATGTATGTGTGCGTGTGTGTGCGTGCTAGCTACACTCACCTGCACACACTCTCGTACACTCGACACCTCCGCATGGCCAAGACACATTTGGCCAACACGCTGCGGCTCGTTTGCTGGCCCGCGCGTCGCCTTATTTGCGCGGCATTAAAATGCGAAAGCGTGTTTGTTCCTGGAAAACCAACAAAACACACACACACACAGCCAGGCATAGGGAATAGGAGAAGGGGGGGGGGGGGGGGGGGGGGGGGGGGGGGGGGGTGCGTGGGGTGGCCAGCTGTGTCGGGCTGCGCGTTGCATGCCTTTTGTTTTATTGACTTGCATATTTCCACAATTTGATGTCTGTGCGCGTTTTTAATCACTTAATTAGAGAGTTTTTTAATTGTCTTTACTAGAATTTATTGCAATTTATGCAAAAGGTGTGTGCTGTTTGCCGTGTTTGCGTGCCGCGCAGGAAATGTGTGTCTTGCGAGCCAAGTTCGTGTCTTAAGTCTTTTGTTTAAAGGTGACGCAAAAGTGCGTGAGCTGAACAGCTCTCCAGTTCTCTGCAGGATCGTAGCCCTTGTAGACTTTCCTATCATATACTCGACCAGGTCCCACTTCTACATAACCTGCTCTACTTTTTGGGACAAGTCTGAAATTCTGATTGGGAATGCAATTGTCACATATTTAGGCTATTTCTATGCTAACCATTGCCAGGCAATAGGGCTAATGAAATGGCAATAACTGAGGCACAAGCACACGAGGCACGGGGCCAGCGCATAAATACTTGTTAGTCCCCCTTGAGAAGTTTGCATTCGAGTCCACAGAGACGACAGCTGAAGAGTAGTTGGACTCATCGTCGTCGTCGTCCAAGTAGTCGTCTTAGTCTCTCTGTTAATCACCTCCTCGCCTGGCTGGCCTTGTATCATCGGGCCTGGAGTTGGCCCGGCCACGTTAGAGTGTGGTGGCTTCTACGTTTTGGTGTCATAAGGAAGCGTCTAAATGATTCATAATTTATGCCTAGTTCTTTGCCTGTCGCTGGCCATGGCCATTCCCATTCCCACTGCCATTCCCATTCCCGTTCCCATACCCATTCAGTTGGCCATTCAATGCTTTCGTTACTTAATTTTTCCAACTTAACGTACTGGCTTGTGCCTGCTGATCATATCCTCAGCTCTGGCCCCTCCTCCCCGCTCGCTGCTAATGCCTTTTGGCTGGCAAAGTGCGTGGCCGTCATCGTCGTAGTCGTCGTCGTCGTCTGGGACGTTGATAGTTGAAAAAATTACTTACAAATTACATGCGTAGCTTATGCCCCCGTGCCGCCTTCGGCTTGTTTGCTTAATGTGCTTTGCGGCGGGTTACGAGCCCATGTGTCCATGTGTCCATGTGGCCAGAGGCAGTCGTCGCTGCTGGTATTAGTATTATGTCTCGTGGCCGGCCGGGTCGTAAATTGCTTTTCCTAATTGAATTCTGAGCACTGTCAAGCCGAATGACAGTCAAGTGGGTGTGGGCCTCTATCAACCGTGCAAGAATGGTTTTTAAATGCTGAATGAATAATCGCCATCTTTTGATTATAAATACAAAACATTTCTGCACCTTGCTGCGAACTGTTCTCATTAACGCAAACGTCTTGAATCACCATCTTAGTGCATGAATCTCTTCAAATAGCAGTTGCAGCTACAGATTGATTAACATATTTAATATAGTGGCAATTACGCCTGTTAAATAATGCATTGTACAATGGCAATTATTATAAATGAGTTAACAAGCCCAGTGAGTCGAAGGGCTGGCAAGTTAGTTTTTATGTTTGCGGTATTTCGCATGCTTTAAAATGCAGCACGAAACATGGCCATAAAGTGTAGCTGCGGTTAGCCTAGCCAAGTCGACAATTTAAAAAGCCAATTTGCACATAATACGGGAAACGTGAGCGAAAATCTTAAACAGAATTGTCCAAGCTATGGCTGCGAATTTCTACGCAAATAGACGCTAATGCAAATGTCGCCACTTTGGCTTGATCAGCAGCTTATTAAGAAAACATTAACTCGGCTTGACCCAATTTCCGTTGGCATGCTAATTTGAATTTGCGCACGCTGCCCAACACTGGTGCACAGCACGTGTGCTCACGCCCAAGAGCGCGATCTGGCAACACTTGCGCGGCAGGCGATGCGCAATTGAATTTATGCATTGCAAATAGACACTTTTTGTGCCTTATTTCACAGAAATGGGTCGCAAGGGCAAGAAGGAGCCGAAACAACTGGGAGTCGGCGACTTTGTGTTCGCCAAGGTGCGTGGATTTCGCGCCTGGCCAGCGCGCGTTCTACGGGAAGACGGCAACATGTTTCAGGTCTATTTCTACGGCACTTGCAACATCGCCAAAGTCGGCGTCACCCAGCTTTTTGAGTACGAAAAGTGCAAGTCACGTTTGGGCGAGGTCAAGCAGAAGCATTACGGCCTATTTAAAGAGGCGATGCTGCACGTGGAGCATTCGCTGACCAATCCCGGCGAGGATCATGGCTATTTTCAGGCAAAGGCCGACTTGGTCAGCGATGAGGCGGAGCTCGACGACGACGACGACGAAGAAGCGTTAGCTTCGACATCTCCACAATTGAGAATGAAAAAAAGATTGGGCAGAACAAGTGTACCATTTGCACACATAACCGGCGACTCGGATTAGGGCTCAGCCACGTGAAAGTTGATCATTTATGAAGATTAAGTTGAACAAAGTTTTTCTTCCCTAATGGAATTTAATAAAGAATTGTTTTTCAGTAACATCTATCTGATACGGAAAGCTGGTTCCAGCTGCAATTTTGTGACACTTAGCCGTCACGTGGCAATTAAGGATTTCGGCGCTGTTGCGTTTATCGCGTGGGCGTGTCTGCCCTCGTAATGTCCACTGCGTGACGCATCCAGTCGAGGGAATAAGATGTTTCTCAGTTAATCAAAAACCTGCCGATACACGTTTCGATGGCAGCGCACAAATGGCAGCGCATTAAATGCTGCGCCATCAGCAAAAACCGGAGCCACCCCGTGGATGAGAACGAAGCGGGCATAGTTTAGCTTAATGGGCATCGTAAAGAGCGCTGCCCATGAAACTGGCTGACCCGAGAGAGAACGGCACGTCCATATTTGTTTTCCCACCCTACATTTAAAGACGCCGGATCTTTAAGCGCACAAGAGCATGGTTGAGGGGATTATGGATCTGGCAGAGTTCGATTTACATTAGCAAATTATCTGAACCGCAGAAAATTAATCGCTGCAGTTGTTGCATCGCTGGCATCTGCACTGGCTGCCTGCCTCATCAAATATTTGGGTTAACAAGGCGGATGCTGCTGCTGCTGCTGCTGCTGCTGTTGCAGTTAACCGCAAATCAGATTCGCTAGGCCTGCAATGAGATTTGGCAGCCGCATCAATTTGGTTTTATCACGAGATGTTTCGTGGGACTTTCGGTACTCCAACAGCTTGCAGAGCAGCTGCTTGCCGTTGCTTTCGCAGATGAAGCATCCCTGACAGCTGTCGCTGGGTAAACGTTGTCCTGTGTCGTTGCGGTTGACCGCCGCAGCAATTGACTTCTGGACAGATTTTTAAGGAGTTAACTATTCACGCATAATTCATTTATTCATTTATACTCGAACGTTTGTTGCTGCTTACCAACCCTTGGCCCACGTCCAGGGCAGTAAAATGTCAAATTAATGTTACGACATGTCCAACAACTTTTGATGGCATTTGACAATGTAGACTTGGAAATTCCTGCAGGTGACGCAGTGCCCCTGTAATTTGTTTGGCAGCACGTACGCTGGACATGATGGAGCATTGTCAACATGTGCCTGCCCAGCATAAACAAAAACAAAGCGCGCCGAGGGACCTGCAACTGTAGCAAACTGAATAGGCAGGTGTGCATGGAGTAGGAGTAGGAGTGTGCTGCTTGGGGTTCGATATCTGGCCAGCAAAAGGTGTCAATGTGTGGGCATGTCGCACACGTGTGCTTGCGGCCCGAGGCTATAAATTTGCTAAGTTTATTTTTCTGGCAGCCACAACAGACGGCCCGTTCAGCGGAAATTTGCTAAGGAAATCAAATTAAAAATTGCTTATCAGCCGCATTCAAATCGTGCTAACAGTTTGCCGGGCGCTAATTGGCAAAATAAACGCTGCGCAACACTGGCTTCATATGCATGTGCATGTGTGTGTATATGTGCATGTTCGTACATTTTCATTTGCATTATCGAATCACTTTATGGCCCGAACAAGTGGCAGCGAAACAAAGGCATTCTAATTAAAATTCCCAAGTGTCGGAAAGTATATTTATTTCTTTGCAAAAATAATTGCATCAATCAAATTTATGGCAATCGAATTGGCCAGGAACAGAAGGGGAGCAAAAGAAGTCAGTTGAGTTCAATGACTGATTGTCTACCTACACTGTGCTACATACGAAAAATTCGACTAAGAACCAAATGAAACATAAAATAGCAATAAATACGGTATGTATAAGTACAGTTAGTTATTATAAGCATTAAAATTCATAGGGGCAATAATATAATCGATAATTGCTAACGATAACGATAGGCAATATTAACAGCACTTTACAGCACTTTTCGTAACGCAAGACTAGTAATCGTTACTATTTAAAAACCATTTTGTGATTTATTTGTATAATCAAATTTACACGTTGATCTGATTGCCGCCCTCAATATTGTAGGATAGTGTAACCACCCTGAATGGTGCATGCAATTGAATATATAACGATTTTGATGGGCCAATCAACCACTTAATTCTGTGCTCTTTGACGACCATTGTTACGCACATGTTATTATTAGTGGCTCACTATGACACGAATCCACCCCATATATATATATATATATATATATATATATATATATATATATATTTCCCTCGAGCAACCATTGTTCATTTGTTACAATTTACAACTTTCATGTAATGTGTCATAAACGCAGTCGATGCCAAGTCGGGCGACATTGCAGCCATCGCACTGCATAATTAAGTCATAAATTTTCGACTGTGCTCTATGGGTCAGCAGGTGAAAACGACACGATTCGATGCCATCATTCATAATTGGATGTTAGGCATTTGGTAATACATGGATGACAAAAGCATGCCACAGAAAACAAAAATTCAATATGCAAAGCGTCTACGATTTTTATTTGCACTCGTGTGCACAGTGGGTGGCATTATCCGACCATTCCGTTGGATACTTTACTGGCCATAAACATTAATTGATTTGTGCCAAAAAGCTTAAAATTTTTTGTAGGCCAACACTCGCTCGAGAGGAAAAGGGACCGCGATCACCTGGGCTAATTAAGTTATGCCAGGAATGGCAAATTAGCATAAAACTTTGCAACATTAAATAATAATATTATACCCACTTTATTATGCTCATATACTGACATTCGAGGTGCTCGTTTTTAATGGTTACTTTGTGACAAAATTGATTAATGAAGCAATTTATTTATTTCGTTTGCATATGGACAATTTTTATGGTACACTCAAATTATGACGAATTATATTGTTGTCTTTTATAAGTTTTTTTTTTTTTTTAAAGTCTGTCTGAACTTGTTTTTTTCTTTTTGGCACTAGTTGCACAATTTGTGTTTCTGATTTTTGGGCTGGCAGTGAAAGTGGTTTTAGGCGTCAATAAATTTCGACCATAAATATTATTTGGGTCGGGCAGATTAGGCGTTATTATTGTTTAACACCAAGATATTGGGGCGGCATGATTTTGGATTCTTTTCGAATCGAAAACTTTTTACGAGCGTGCCGAAAATGTGGCAGGTTTTTTAATACCCATAAAAGTTGATAACTTAATTATGTGTATTCATTTTGGAAATCTGAATACATGCTTTTATTAGAAAATGTATTCATAATCTTAACAGTCTTGTCGTGAGTTACTTGAAGCCGATTATCCTGGCTGACCTGGTATCATGTTATATATATATGTATATATATATATTTGAATAATACTTAGCGGCTATGAAAATCCCATAACTAGCATAAAACGGGTCGTTAAATTCAGACCAAATTGTGTGTTGAGGCAATCAAATAAAAACTCTCTTCGAAAGTGGACATTAAAATGTTCGTGAATGTTAACAAAAACTCAATTCAGTTTGGCCAAGTTTGACATGACAGATGGATATACAAGAGTTCAGTTCATTGGTTTGTTTAAAAATGTGAAAATGGTTGATTTTCTAATTAATTGATAGCCCCATACTAAATTTGTGAAAGCCATCGCCTTGCGTTGCCCACAAAGAGCGCCTTTTATGCGTTTATAGCTCTATTTACAATTTTTGGGTATTCACTTTGTCTGTAGTTCGAGATTTGGTGTCAGCTCTTTTTGTGTTTGTGCATGGTGTGTCTCTGGTTAATGGGCGTTTTTAAAATGCCATAAAATTGCTTTATAAGTTTACGATATTAATATGCACACCAATATTGGACATTATTATAATATATTGAGTATCAAGCGAGCACACAAAAGCGCCACAAATGAGCCAAAGACTGTGACCCAGCCGCGGGCGAGACCCGATCTTTGATTTTGGTCAACACCAGCCTCACGCACCCTGCGGCGCACATTAACAAAACTCTAAACAATGGCCAGACCAAGTTGCCCGGATCAGCGAGCAGGAGCATGCGGAGAAGGCGCAACAAACATTTCAATTTGTATAATGATATCATGCCGCGTCTTTCCCCCAACTTGTTGCTGCTCTTGTTCCTGTTGCCTGGAATGTGCTGGGTATCAAATTGCCGGCATTTGTCAACGGAGCAAGTCTTCCATAAATTAAGGGCTCGTTAGATAGCCGGCGTACCACGGGCAACAAGTTCTGCTGATAAAACGGCGTGAGATTACCCGTTATCAAAGTCATCCATTGGCTCATAACTAATTGTTGCTCCTTCAAGCGGACAGCTGTGGGAGCACGATAAGATGTAACATGTGGTTGTGCCTTGTAGAGATATTCTGTTGTCGTACTTAACAAATACTTGTTTATTTATAGCTACAAATTGTTTGAGATTTGTTTTCTCTTTAATTTATAATGACAGCAACAACTAAGGATCAGTATCAGCTGAGGTATACTGAGTTTGATTCTATATAAGTACTTTAATACTTACGTATTAAAAAATATATGAAAAATATAAAATATATTAAACAAGTAAGAGGTTCTAGTCGGGAGATCCCGACTAGGGGATACCCTGAACCCTCTTCTTCCAACATCAAATGCATATATATATTCTATTTTAGAAGCTATATGTCAAGTTTGGTGACTGGTGAAAAAACGTGATATCGATATCGATTTTTATCGATTGCTTGGAAACGGAGTAAGTTATCGATTATCGGAAACAAACTCGATCTGCGCAGGCACTAGGAGCATCTACATCTAAAATTTCAAGTCTCTAGCTCTTATAGGTTCTGAGATCCTTGCGTTCATACAGACGGACAGACGGACGGACAGACAGACGGACATGGCTAGACCGACTCGGCTATTCATGCTGATCAAGAATATATATACTTTATGGGTTCGGAGGTGCTTCCTTCTGCCTGTTACATACATTTGGATTTTGCACAAATACAATATACCCTTATACCCATTTTTAATGGGTTCAGGGTATACAAATATATATCATAAAAAACTGATAATATGAAATGTAAAGCCGAATGTTAATTAACAGATTTTTATGATATACTTATTAGGAGCACAAGCTGTGACAGGTAACAGGTGCTTCATAGTCTGTCATCTCGCTGTCATCAGGAATCACCCTGTCTCTGGCAGTTAATCTGTCAGCTCTCTGTCATCAGGAATCACCCTGTCACTGACTGTTAATAAGCACAACAACATTTGCATTCAAATACGGAATATTTGGTGAGAATTCTAAGCCTTATGCAAGGCATAATTTTGTACTTTTTCTAACTGCGAATAATGGAAGATGCTTGGAATATGGCCGAGAGCATGTTGTTGGATGTGCTCGTTTCCAATGTCTACAATCAGTTTATCCACCAGAACGCATCGCTATTCAAGGACAAGGTAAGGCCTTCCTTCAATACTACGAATTTTACCACTCTTTTTGATTGGAAAGCTCGCACGTAGATTGTACTGGATGTGGGCTGTCGCAGTGGACTGCTGAGCATCCTGGCCGTTGAGGCAGGCGCCATCAAGGTCTTTGCCGTGGGCAACATGCAGAGTGCCAAATGTGTTACGAAGGTTTTGGCCCATGGGGAGAACGCGGAGATTTTTGAGCCGCTCAGCGGTTGCATCAGCCAACTCAAGTTGCCTTGTGGACTGAAGAAAGTGGACATAATAGTGTCCGAATGGATGGGGTAGGGCATACTTATTCCCAGCTATCATTCAATAAGTCTGTTTGTTCTTTTTAGGCATGCGCTATTTGCGGATTCTCTATTCTGCCAGGTGCTGTACGCACGTGACAAGTGGCTGACAAAGGGCGGCCAAATCTTTCCCAATGTGGCCAATCTCTATATACAGGGCATATCCCAGAGCCGACATCAGATCATCGATAAAAGCCTGCCGCCCATCTTGCTGATGGACGATTATGTGAATCGGCAATCGCTCATGACAGAGAAGTATCTATTGAAGAGCATAAACCTAAGCAGCGCCAAGGATGAGATTGAATTCTTTAAGGCCGATTTTAAGATGAAGGCTGTGCGCAATGGAAAGGTGTCCGGGTGCATGCTCTACTTTGACATATGCTCCACAAATGCCAAGGGTCAGCTGCAAAAGCTGTTCTCTATAGGTCCCGAGTCGCCCAAAACGTATATGATGCAAACGGTCTTATACTTGAAGGAGGATGCCCTCGAGGTTGTCGACCAGCAGCTTCTGTTTGGACGTTTTAGCATGGCAGTCGGCTGCTTTGCACCGCGCGGCGTTGAATTCTCCCTGGGCATATGGCTGGGTCAGTAGCTGGCTGTACTTAATAAAGGGTAATGCTGATGCTGATGCGAATGCGAATGCTGAAACGGATGGCTGATGGGTTGATGTATTCATGGCAATATTTAGGCGTTCTTTGGGCAGTTCGCCTTAAAGGCCAACACGTCGCTCCGGCTGAAGGCTTGTGAGCAACGATCGTTGCAAGATCAAAATTTATGGCCGTGCTGCATCAATTAGGGCGGCAGCCCGACGACTGCTGCTCAAAAGACAATGGGCAGCGCGGGCTTGGTTTGCGTTTTTTGCTGAACTGATCGGTGTTTAGCTTTGACGTTGCTACAACGATTTAAAATGATGTCGCGCATAATTCACTGATCGAGTACAAGATCGAGGATTCACGTTTCGCCAGACTTTGCGTCGTGCTCGGGCTCCCTCTTCCTGCAGAGCTCTGCTCTGTCTCTGTCTGCCCTCGTTTACAGTTAAGTTCTTTTGTTCAAATCTCATAACTGATCGCTGATCACTGATCGCAGCTCCCTGTTCCCTGTTCCCTGTTCACTGTTCACTGTCCGCTGCTCGCACTTGGTTAACGCTCCATACAAGGCGCAGTACAATGGGCTGTCTCCTCGTCCTGCCTGTGCTGGGCACACAAATTCGTTCTTTAAATGATATCTTTCGAGTCAGCGGCAGGGAATCGATCCACTCGCTCGCATGCTTAAGTGACATTTTGCGGGACGTGGGTCTGTGATGGATTAGCATCATTTTGCCGTGAGGATAATGTGTCGTCGACAATGATTTTGGTTGACATGTTTTTTTTTTTGTTTTTTTTTTGGGGTTTCGTGCTGTTCTCGGAAATAATTATGCTGCTTTTGCGCAAAAGTAACAGCATTTTTGTACAAATTGCATAAAAATTTAAATTGGCCAGCGAACTTTTTGGCTTTTCGCGGCAAACCCAGAAAATTGCTTAATAATGAAATGCCAATGGATTAAGCGCAATTTGTGCGGTATGCCGAGATCCGAGTGGGGCATGCGGCATTTGGCGGGCCCACTGATCCGCGCCACTTGCTGCATTCCACTCGAAAGCTCCCTTTTTTTCTGTAGCCCGCTGAATTTTTGCTTTATTTTACACCTACCCAGTCAATGCTAATGCTGTCTCTTTCTGGCGACTCTCTCTCTCTCTTTCTGCAGCTTTCCGCCTTTCGCACGCTCGCCTCGCAGCGTTTTCATTAAATTCGCTTAATAGCGCAATATAATTTAAACAAGTAGTAACATAAAATAAAACTCACAGCAACGCATTGAAAGGCATAAAAAGAGGCAAATGATGCCGGGGTAGAGCTGGCCAGGTCTGGCCTCGCCTGGCCTGAATCTGCGCCCGGTTCCAGGTTATGGCGCATGGGCGAGACGCCCGGCATGGCCCGGCTTGGCCCGCAAGTGCAATAAGTTCGCTTAACGAGGGTTTAATTTATGATTTGTTATGTTTCCGGTTCGTGTTCTTGCGGCCGATGCTAAAAATTATTGGCAATAAAGCCAAGGTGTGGATTATAGTTGGCTGGTAGCTTGTGCTGCCACTGGGAATCCAGAGCTGGAGGTGGACCGATTAGCGTTACCTGCGCGAAATGTTAGCAAAAAGCCAGATATTCTACACACACAAATCGATCAGGAGCAGGAGCACATCTTGGGTCTAATCATGCCTCATGGATTAAGTATTGTTCATTTTTAGATGTGGTTGCCCAATATTTGCCACATATTGCACAGTTTTGTCTTTGCCACTAATAATCCCTAATCCTTTCACGCTCACTGTGCATTTGCGGCCAGACAGCCAGAGTCCGGGCAACGAGCCATGAAGAATGGCGGGAGCGGGAACGGGTAACGAGGTACGTCGCATTGCGTTGAAAATCGATTTGTTTGGGTTGCGCCTGCGCAAACAACGCGGCCCCTGGATAAGAACGGATAAGAAAATAAGCAAAGACACACAGCAAAGGGACAGAAACGGGAAAGGGAACGGGGAGGGGAACAGGGACTGGCAGTGCGACAGACGCTGGGGCAAGAAGGCGAAATGGTTGAAGCCAACGCCAACGAGTATCTGCTGGAACATAAATTACGCGACTAACAAGCAGCGCCCCGTGCAGCCAACCAATGCCAACCAACTTGGCCGAAAGCTAAAAAAGATACAAAGCCTCGGCCTGGCTCGGCACTGGGTCTGGCTCGGCACTGGACACTGGGCACTTGGGAACAGGCTGCGCTCTGCCTGGCCAGAGTGAGTTGCACAAAATTATAAATGAAAGCGGGTGTTGGACGCCGTTCACAGGAGAGCAGCTCAGAGACGCAGCAGAATCGCAGCAGCATCCCAGCAGCATCCACGTCCACGATTAGGTGTAGCAATTTGGACGGGCTGCCTGTGATTGAGACCGAGGCAGTGTTCGAAACGAAGTTAAAAATCAAATTAGCGAATGTGTTGAAAATTAAAAACAAATTCACGGATAAATTGCATCTGCCAGATACGCAATTATTATGAGGGTAGACAGGGCCAGGCACAGGGAGAGAAACAGAGAAACGTGAACTGCGACTGACTTATGGACTCTGTCCAGGCTCTCCAGCTCAGCTCTGCTCTGCCCTGACTTGGCTGCCGGGGCTGATGTTCTGGTTCTTGGCTTTAGCTTTGGCTCTAGCTGTGGTGGCTGTCCGCTGAGCGCTGTTTTTGCCCTCGAGGTGTTGCAATTTGACGTTTTTTACGCGCGTTTTTATTCCATGAAATCCACATAAGCTTCACAAGGATGCAGCAGCCGCAGCGGGCACAGCAGCCGCACGCAGTGCAAATAGTTGGCCCTAAATGGTTTTTGGCGAAAAACATGTCGAATTAACACGCTCAGTTGCTGTGCAAGTGGAATGCCAGTTGGGGCAGCTGCGATCGGGATTAACAACAGCAGCATCAACCTTATGGGCCAGCCAGCGTTGTGTGTATTTAAATGCTTGGCAAATTAGCTGAAATTTCTTTTGGCCCAACACAATTTGCATTTGGGCAGGGTGTCTGCGTGTGTATGTGTGTGTGTATGTGTGTTTTTGCGAGTGCAAAACATATAATTAGTGTTGAGTTTTTGCGGTAAGCTAAGCCCCTACCGAACTGAAAGGGGCCTCAGCTGGCGCCGTCTGTGGCTGGCAAATAAATCGCGCTGCTGTTGAACTTTCAGTGCCTCCGGGATGGAGTGGAGGTTGGTCAGAATCGCAGAGCCAAAGCGAATGGCACTGCCAAGAGCTGACAGAGTTGGACTCGAGACTCGATGTCGGACACGCCCCCTTGTGTCCTGTGCATTGCAGCCAGGCTGTTCTCAAGGCGAGTCGAGATCGTGGCCCTCTCAGCTCAGGTCGGCTCAGCTCTCTGCCAGCGCCGTAAAAAGGGCGCAAATTTTATGAGCGCATCGTTTAACAAATGAATTTACAACCGTGCAACGCCCAAATGTCTGGCGTTCAAATTCAAATTCCTTGCAACGAAAGAAGACGTGGCCCAAAACGAAACTTGGCACTGTCCGTGAGTTACGTGGCACACGGAGGCGTATGCGCTATATTCGAGCATGAAATATGTCTGGCATTTGGCCAAATGATTTAAAACAAATAGCAGCCAGTCTCTCTCCAGCCATCTTTAAGGCCGTCTACACACATATATCTGCACTTTCGTATTCATCCCGGCCACTCAGCTGCTCCATTGCCTGCCCGGACTCAGTTATATTAACGCTTTCATTAGCCCAGTTTGTGCTTCGCTGGCCGCCCTTTTATCGGGCTGCGTTTTGGCGTCCATAAATCGAAGTCATTGCCAATTGCTAACTGGAAACTGGCAACTGGCAATTGCCAGCGCGTTGTTTTACTCGTTAAATACAGTTTAATGAGCTACCCAAAATCTGAAGTACCTTTTGGAGCAGCTTCTCGGTGCGTGCTCGCCAACGGGCCCGATCAGCGTTTTGGGTAATTGTAATTGCGTCGGCCTGTCAATAGCTTTTCATTGGCATCAATAAGGGAAAGCTTCGCTTGCTTGCAGTTAATATTCGTTTTTATGCGGCAATTACCGACACGATCCCAAATGATCGCCCCGTGAAGCTGGTAATTTGGCAACTCGTGAGCCATATGCAAATATCAGCAGAAGCTCCATAAAAGTCTGCACTGTTCACTGCCCAAATGAGGATTCGGCTCAAAATGTTGCCATTAAACCCGTCGTAGGTTCGACAACTCTGTCTTCAGAGGCCTATGGAATGTAGTCTCTTGGTTTTTAGTCCTATGGCAATGCTCGTATAACTTGTAGATTATTTTATAACTTACAGGTACAATTGTATCTTTCAGATACTTTATATGATACAGATACTTTTTTATCATACAGATACTTTTGTATGTTACACATACTTTTTAATCTTATATATACTTTTAATCTTACAGATAATTTGTCTTATAGCTTCTTTTGTATCTTATAGCTACTTTTGTATCTCACAGATACTTTTGTGTCTTATAGATACTTTTGTATCTCACAGATACTTTTGTGTTTTACTGATACTTTTTGTATCTTACACAATTTTTTGTATCTTCCAAATTTGTTTTTAATCTTGCAAATTTGTTTATCGCTCATGCTACAGGCGCTTTTGTATCTTAAAGGTTTTCGAGTCTTGCAGAAACTTTTTACAGATACTTGTTCGCTCTAAATTGCTTTTGTATCTTTTAGTTATAAATATTACAACTATGTTTAAATCTTACAAGCATTTGTCTTTCCCATTAACTTTGCATTTTGCAACACACACATAAAATTCTCAGAGATACTCTTAGCATGTCACGAATTCTTAACTAAATATATGAATAGGAAGAATTTGTACAAATTTCTAATTAATTTAATGGAAAGAGACTTATTGCCCTATATGTTTGTTAAGATTGATTGACTGAAAACTGCCAACTCCAGAGCTACTTACGTTAATCTTTTACGAACAACACTCGAATTTACCTGAAAATGTAATGCCATTTCGATGCTATCCTTGGCATATTGCCGCAAATTTCACACTTCTAGGCTAAACTGTATTTAAATAGCTCGAGGCACATGGCGATCCTAGT